TTTATTTTCTAGCATTATCTTTTCTTGTATTTGCTAAAGATCTGTGTGTAACCAAAGGTTGTTTAGATAGGTTTTCTTTACCTTATCTTTCAGCAAACAATCTTGTAAAATCTGTATTGATCTTCTCTATCAATATATATTTTAAATTTGAAAACTATGTGTTTGTATTCACCCCCCCTTCTACAAACTGTGTCCTATCTTGTTGACCCTTTTGGGACCAACAACCTTCTTATCCGAAGTAATTTTACTTCCCTGTCTTTTCAGCCGACAAACCTGATAATAAAACAAATGCAGAATGGAATATTTTGCATATACAGGTTTGTGGGTATATTTGGCAATGAGTAGATGATAATATTTTGAACCATCTAAGTGGGAGACTCTTGCTCGTACTTTGTGGACAAGCTCGGGCAATTATATGCTTTAAAGACTGGAATAATAAGTTGTTCTCGATTAAAATGATCCAACTTAAGTACCATGATGGAACTCCTATCACTAATCATTTGAATGCATTTCAGGAAATTATTAATCAACTTGCAGGAATGAATATCAAGTTTGAAGATGAAATCCAAGGCTTCTTGATCCTTATTACTCTACCGGATTCTTGGGAGACATCTAGGACATCATTGTTCAACTCTGCACCCGATGGTGTTATTTCATTAGAATTGACTAAGTCAGTATTCTAAATGAAGAGATGAGAAGGAAGTCATATGGTTCCTCTTCACAATCAGATGTCTTGGTCACCGAAAGGCGGGGGATAAGGCAGAGTAGAGGTTCGAGTAATAGAGGTAATCGTCGGACGAATTCGAAAGGAAATTTTGTTGACTTTGAATGATACCATTGGGGTAGAAGGAGAACAAAAATGACATCCACAACAAACAAAAGAACTGCAATAAGAAAGGTGACGGTGACAATGAAAATGTTGAAGTTAATACCACCATTGAGGAGTTATTTCTTTGTTGTGATGATGACATGGTCAACCTTGCACCTGATGATTTGAGTTGGGTTGTTGATTGTTGTTGTCTGGTTTATACAACCTTTAAAATTCAACAGAAAATAGACCTTGTAACAAATATACACCTTAATATATTGTTGTAATGTAACAAGTACCGAATATCGTTCCCACAAAGATGGATTCAAAAGACTTTCAAAAAGTCCAGTCTTTGAAACTTGATTTTAGATGCCGAATTCGAAAAAATCTTTTGGTTGGTTGGTTAATAATCAACTATAGAAAATCAGTCGTAAAAAGAAGCAAATGGTATAAAGGTCGTTCAGACTAAAACAAATTGTCCAATAGTACTATTAATTAGTACAACTGTCTTGTCATAGATATCCGACTACGGGGCCAGACGACCGCCCAGGAGTACACACAAACCGACGTACTATTGATACGACATCATTTATATTAAACGTCGTGAATCCTAGTACAACAGAATATTACCATCCTACTTGTATAAGTATAACACTTGTCACGTATGAAAGCTATTTTTACCTTCTTATATTAACTCGGGTTATCGTATTTATCTTAACTCTGAAAAGTTAATGTATTTCCATACATAAAATTAGTCGTCAATTAATTTAATAATATTCAATGAAATATTTTTAATCCAAAATAAACAGTTAGATAACAATGCTATATTAAAAACACTTTTCCAATTTCACATGGTCTCGGCCCTAATTTTCCATTACATCCCAAGTTAAGACAATATCCCATCACCATGTGGTTTTTTTTATACAAAAGATGCAAATACTTAAATGTAAATAATGAAGATGGAAAAATACATGAAGGTGGCGTTTGTTTTTTAAGTGGTGCTGAAGTCTGAATCTGATTTCACTTCTGATTTTTAAGAGGTGGTGCTGAAGTCTGAAATCTGAAGCAGTCAGACTGTTTGTTTTCACGTCTGAAGTCTGAAAACTGAATCAATATAAACACGAACAAAGTCTTAAAACAACTAGAGTCAATATTCATTTTGCATTAATTGTGTTGACATCATCCCCTTGCTCATTGTTTTGATCATACTAAAAAGGATGTACACCACCATATGCACTGTGAAAGATGCCAATACAAAGCATATTTACATTGAACAAAGACAACATTAAAATAGGAGACACAGTTACCTAAAACATATTTAACTAGCTAAGTACACCACCATATGCACTAATGCACACAATCATTTCCAATGTTTCGAATAAAGCAAAAGCAAATAGGTAAGGTAAACTAATCCACAACTTCATCTTCTCCCATCTCTACCGTCTGGTTCGAGCTCTCACCAAGGCGAAAACCCTAATTTGTTGAAATAAATTGACAAGAAGTGAAGATGAAAAATACAAGACCTAACACACCAGGGAGAGGCCGAGAGGGAGAGTCGAAGAGGGAGTAGGGTTGTCGCCGAGGGTTGTCGCCGTGGGCCTGTCACCGTCGTCGTGGGCTTGTCGCCGTGAGCCTGTCGCTGTCGTCTGTCGCCGTCGCCGTGAGCCTGTCGCCGTCGCCGTGGGCCTGTCACCGTCGCCGTGAGCCTGTCGCCTGTCGCCGTCGCCGTGGGCCTGTCACCGTCGCCTGTCGAGAGTGATTGTGGGAGATCGAGATCGAGAGATGAATGATTGTGAGATGAGCAACTGTGAGAGATCAAGATCGAGAGATGAGCTAAGAAAACTGGAGGCGTGAGAGATCAAAATAAGAGGTATTAAGAGAAAAAGTTACCACTTAATATTTCAGAGGAAAGAGAACGGAATAAGCTCTTATTTGAACAAAAAAAAAAACAAACAGTCTTAATACCACAAACGTCTGACCGATTCAAACTTCAGTGGTATTAAGCTCTTAATACCAAAAAACAAACAAGCCCGAAGTAAATTTGCAAGTATTTATTTAAAAATGAAACTTGTCGCGCAAGTTATGATTATCTAGAATAAATACTAAAGTTAAATTGTACGGAAATGTAGATAATGTAAATTAAATTGCATAAATTAAAGTGCGATAAAATAAATGATGATGCAAGAAATGTAAATATAAAACGGTAAATTAAAATAAATAAATAAATAAAGGAGTAGCATGGAAACTTGCATGTAAATTGTAACAATTTGTAAATACTTGTATGGTTTACTTTTAAAAATAAAATTTCAAACCTTTGAGATAATAGCCCACGGACCACAATGGATTTTTAATCCAATTTAATGTCACATTTGCAAGGTTTTCTCCAAAAGTAGAAATGAAAATAAATTTAACAATAAATAGCAAGTAAAATGAACTAAAAATTACCAACAAAATTAATATTACTTAAATAATAAAGTGTAAGAACAAAAGTTAGAAGTTAAAATTAAAATATATAAAACTAGAGAAAGAAATGAAGAGCAGTAAGTTCTAGAGAGAAAAAGGAAATTAAGTTACAAAAAGTAAATAGCTTAATGAGATGGTTTTTAAAATGTAAGTACAAGTTCTCTTTATATAACGCCTAGGAAGCTTGGGGCCCAAATGTGGTCCAAAATACCCAAGAGATGGAGCTCATTAACAATAATCAACCAAAAAAGTAGGCTCAAGATGAGGCCCAATAATGCAGGCCATAGACAAGTCCTGTAGGAATTTGTAGGATTTGTCCGGTCAGTAACTGCCCATTAACAAATCCTGTAGAAATTTAAAGAATTTAATCAGTTTTGAGATTTAGCTATTTTTTCCATGTAAAATGAAAAGAATTCACATAACTTCAACAAAACTTCAAAAGTACTAATAATGTAAAAAGAAAGACTAAAAGACTCAACTGAGGTAATAAAATAAACTTAAAAGAATGTAAAAACGTGCATATATGGTTAATAAATTAACATCTATCACACCTCAAACTTAAGTTATTTATCTCCAAACAACCAAATAATAAATAAAAAGACTCAAAGATTTTACTAAAATAATTTGAGCTAAACTCAAAAAATTTGGACTTATTTAACTATAACCATAGTGTGTATGTTTTTGTGCTTTTTGGACAAGTGTTCATAGCATGATGAAAGTGATACCAATAGCCATTCACAAACTGGGTTCTAACACTTGATCTTATAAGCATCAAACTATAAGCTAGCTTAAGTTTTCAACAAATTAGAATCATTAAAGCACTTGAGATTTTGAAAGGGTGTGTATTTGACTTTTTCTTATCTGAAATGCAATGCCTTTTACCCCATTCTCACAATTTCACTTCATGGCACAATTTTTCTGTCATGCTTTTTATATTGAGATAAGAAATGGACTTTTTGGTTCTTTGGTGTCTTTGACACTTTTGTATGCAAGAATTGTAGATCTATGCTCTTTTAAGTTGTCTTTTTGATTATTTGTATATTTTCGCAATGCGTTGCACATGTTAGGCGTGAATTGTGCAAATCCAAATCCAAATCCAACCCAACTGATTTATAAAATTCGGCCCACATTTTAAACCTTGGCCCAATCTGATTTGAAGTCACAAATTCGGCCCATTTTTTTCAAACAAAAATTCCAGAATTTTTTTATTAATCTGGAT